AAGAGCAACCATTAATGAAATCCCACAGTGGATCCTTCATAAGTTTAAAAAACATCTATTTTGTAATGCCAATAGTATTCTCTCTCTCTCCTTTTCTTTTCTCTTTTTGGCCACACTGCATGGCATGTGGGATCTTAGTTCCCTGACCAGGGATGGAACTCATGCCCCCTCATCGGGAGCACTGCAGGCACAATAGAAAAGTCTCTTTTTTTACTGCAAACTTTCACAATTGGTGAATATCTTAAATTGTGATCGCCAAAGGACCAATTGCCCTTTGATATTCATTATTTCTTTGAATAGTCTGTCACCTCCCACTAGAATCTAGGCTCCCTGCTGCATCCAAGGTACCTGAACAGTGCCTGGCACCCAGAAGGTGTTTATTTGGTTGAATAAGAATAAAGACTTTGTAAAAACACAAATTTGCATTTTATGTTCTTTATACATATATCTTTCATTTAATATTGTCTTTCTTTTTTTGGCAGCTTCTTGAGCCCACTGAATACCCTGGCGTTCAGACAAAAATGTGTGGTAGAATATTTAAAAAAAAAAAAAGACTAAATTTTTATTTTATTATCCCAACTAGTAAATAAGAACTAAAAGGGTGAGGGAATTGGTAATGAGATTAGTGGCCTTTGAACTACAGTGGAAGTGTCTCAAGTCTGCATTTGAGACAGCAACAAGCACCAAAAAACAGACAAGTTTTACTGATAAAACTTAGATACTACAACAAACATGATAAAACAATTATAGTACATAAGTAGTAATTGTAGAACTATAGTGCTTAAAGTGATCGAAGAATGTTAACTTATTCCATAGATATCTGAGGAATATGAACTAGTACTTTAGAACATTCTTTAGAATGAAAACTATCAGATAATGCATAAAAATCAACTTGGAAAAAATATTCCTTCAACAAACATTTCTTGGATACCTCCTATGTGCCAGGCCAAATCCTAACACATGAAGCAAATTACTAATAAACTGTTATCAAGACATGCCTAAGCCTCCTGGACATTTAATAAATATTTTTTATTATCTATCATATTCACTACACTAAGCCCTCGGGATACTTCTATAAACAAGATCAACACAATCTCTGTCCTGGATTCTAGTGAAAGAGAAAAGAGAACCACCAAACAGTGAGAAATTACAGTAAGGACATAAACAAAGGGCCAAGAAATAAAAACAGGGAGGCCTACGGGATAGGGTGATTGGAAAAGGCCTCTCTGAGGAAGCAGCACTTAGGCTAAGGCCTCACGGATGAGAAAGAGACAGCTCTGGCAGTTCTGAGGAAGGAGCACATCAGTATCAAGGGCAAAGGGCCTGAGACGGGAATGAGTGCCGGAGAGCAGAAAGATGGCTGCTGCTGCTAAGTCGCTTCAGTCGTGTCCGACTCTGTGCGACTCTGTGCGACCCCAGAGACAGCAACCCACCAGGCTCTGCCATCCCTGGGATTCTCCAGGCAAGAACACTGGAGTGGGCTGCCATTTCCTTCCCCAATGCACGCATGCATGCTAAGTCGCTCCAGTCGTGTCCGACTCTGTGTGACCCCATGGACAGCAGCCCACCAGGCTCCTCTGTCCACGGGAGTCTCCAGGCAAGAATACTGGAGTGGGTTGCCATTTCCTTCTCCAAGAAAGAAGGCAGCATGGCTTGAATATAGTGAGCAAGGGGCAAAAGTTGAAGTCAGAGTGGCAGGCAGAAGCCAGATCAACTGTATGCCACGGGGAGAAGTTGGAATGTCATTCAGAATGCAATGGGAAGCCATTAAGAATTTTAAACAAGAGAGCTACATGAACTGATTTGCATTTTTATAAAATCATTCTTGCGGTTGTGTAAAGAAGGAACTAAAAAGACGCAAGGGGGAAATGGGGAGACCAGCTGGGAGGCTGTTATTACCACAGTAACATAGCCAAGAAATGACAGCGATCGCAACCAAAAATCTAGGAGTAGACCAATAGGAAAAAAGTGGGTGAAGGGAAAAAAAAAGTGGGTGAGTCCTAGAGGTATTTTGGAGATGGGAGAACCGAATGCATGTGGGGACTGAAGCATAGGAAGTTAACTAGGGTGGGTTTCTGGGTTGAGCAATTAGATGGATGATCGTGCCATTTATTGAAGTGGGTGGTGCAAATTACTGAGATTTCTTCTTCATGTTCTGTGTATTCAAGCCTACCTAAGGCTTACTAAAGACATTCCAATTGCCAAATTCAGTGAATACTTGAAGTGTTCACACTCTTCATCTGACACTGTTAAGACTCCCTTAAAACTTCACACTCTCCGTTTCCAAGACAGCACTCTTCTGGTTCTTCTCTTACTCAATGAATCTCCTTCTCAGGTTCCATAACCCCAGAACTCTGTTCTTGGCCTTCTACTATTTCATTCCAGGACTCTCTCCCTTGCTGACCTCATCCAAGCAATCCACAGCTTTAACTACTACCCACATAAAGCCTCCCAGATCCATACCTCCTTCCAGAACTTCCTCCTCACCTACCCAACTGAACCATCTACCCAACTGTCCCATTTCTATTGAGATATTTCAACAGCATCTTAAACTCAACATATCCAAAAGTAACTTCATCATCCTCTTCCTCCAACACTCCTTTTCCCTCATCCCATATTCTTCATCTGTGAAAAGCATAACTTTGCAGAACTATGCCCAGCTTCTTAAGCGCAAAACTTGGGATCATTTTACTCTCTTCTCTTTTAAGTCCACATCAAATCAATTTCCAAGCCCCATCAAATTTACTTTCTAACAAGTTTGTGGATATGTCCTCTCTTCATAACCCACCATTTTAATTCAGGTCTTCAATCCTCCTGCTCTTGTTTCTTACATAACATTCTGGTTTCTTCAGCCTCACATCATTCAAACCCACCCTTCACATCTCAACAGTCAGGGAAATCCTTCATCGGCTCTCTATACCCTTAGGATAAGATTCAGCCTTACAAATGGCAGACAAGGTCCATTGGGAGTTAGAGCCTCTGGCTGGGTTTCCTGCCTCAACTCCCACCATTTCTCCTACACACTCCAACCTCTCACCATGCCAACTGACCAACAGGTTCATTCATGACTCTGCATATACTGTTTTCTCCCAATACCTACTTAGTTCAAGCATCCTTTTCTTTTAGCAGCCTGAAATTCAGTATGAGATGATGACTCCCCTCTGCGCTTTTACAGCAAACCATTAATGAAAGACTTCTATTGCTTATCACACTTTTTTTCTCCCACTGAACTGCAAATTATGTGAGGCCAGGGACTATCTTTCCTAGAATATTTTCGGTGCTTAGTACTTAAAAAATGATTAGTAAATGTTTGTGGAATAACTATCTAGATCAAACTTAAGAAGGCTTTCTGTAAAACATGAACTGCTATATATAGTATTCATGACAAGAAAAGGTAGCCTGAAAGAAGAGACATTCAATAGTTTTCTAAAATTAACCAATAACAACAGCTGCTGACTTTCAGACATCAGCATTCATCTTCCATTACTGAAGAGCTAGCTATGTCCAACGTAGTCCTGATGTAATTCTGATGACCTTTTTGTATTAGTATCCATTAATATTTATTTCTTCAGTTCAGCTACTTTTTAATACTCTGAGTTTAATTAAGATTTCTCTGACTGTTTTTGTCCTCAATAAAGACAGAGGTCAGCCTCTCATGCATAATAATTCTGTCTGAATAAACAAGATTTCTGATACACATTAGTTTTAAGCTATTTTCTACTTGTTCACTAAAACACGAATATTATCATCACTACCACCACCAACAAAATACACATGCTCCTAACCTTTCCCCCCCCTTCAGAAGAGACATTTATACAGAATGGATTGTCTTACATACACAAAGTATATCTTCACCTACCAACCACGGAGAGTGAAGGGACTTTTACATTTATACTTTATAGCTCCTGAAGTCATTCATTAAATATTTTTCCTGGCTCCAAAAATTACATTACAGGGCTTTTCTATGAAAGTTATTATTGAGTTTTTCATGTTCAGATACTGTGATGCAACTGATATTTTTGCAAAACAAAGAAATGAACAAATCTCCGCAGTTTCTTAGGTGCTGTCTCTCTTTATTACCATAACTTAACCACATTCTGAGACAGCAACAAGTTCACTGCTTTGAGCAACAATACACAAAAACGTTCTATGGCAGACACCACTGCAGATGTCCATAAAACAATTCATCCAATTCAGTAAATCCAGCCTGAGGTTTTTAACCTTATATCTCACTTATTATATCTGGCAAAGGAAAAAAATGTAGATTTTTTTTTTTTAAATAAAGACAGATGTGCCTTTTAATATCCTATGTCTTGTCAAACTATGGTGACTATGTCTGGAATTATTATGGACTTCATGAAACTGTTAAGCCAGGTCATTCCAGTGGTATTTCAGGTCTTTGCGCCCTAACCCAGAAGTAATGCTAATTTCTTCCTGGTGCTCTGCAGGTTACAGAGACTGACATATGAAACTCTGGGACCCTTTCATCTCCGAGACTTAAAAATGGGTTGGAGAGCACTGGAAATGGAACCAACAAGGCAAAACAAAGGTCGTTCAACAGGGAAACAAACCAACAAAGGCCCCACAGAAGAAAACCCTGCAGCCTTCCGCCGGCTCCCAAAGGTGGAGAATGCCAGAAGCCCGGGTTCCTGAACCGGAATCCCAGTCGGGCCTGGGCGACCCAGAGTCACCAAGCGGGGAAGGGGGGCGACTCAGCGAAGGCACGAGGCAGCCGCCCGCCGGGCCCGCTGCCCAGACGGCCCCCCAGAAAGATCAAAGTAGGGAATTCTCCCCGCCTCCTCTCCACGCAGGGATCCAGGAAGAAGAAAGAGGCTCCGCGCCTCTCCAGCCGGTTGCGGGGCCCGCGCTCCCCGCCCGCCAGCTCAGTTCTCCCGGCCGCAGGGCAAGCAGGCCGCGCCCCCTCCCCACCCCTGTGCCCCGCAAGCGCCGGGCCGGCCACCAGGTCCCGCCGCCCCCGCTCCGGCCCCGGCATCACTCACAGAGCCCGAGCGCCGCCGCCAGCACCGACCACAGACAGCGCCGGCGGTCTGGGGATGCAATCAGTGCTCCGGCCCCGGCGGGCGCTGCCATCGTCCTCCCGCCGCAGCCGCCGCCGCCCTGGGCCCGGGTCCCCACTGCAGTTAGCTAGGCTCCTGGCCGAGGGCTCGGGACTCGTCGTCGCCGGGATCAGCGAGCACCTCCACGCCGCGGTCCCCGCTCGCGGCCCCAGCCACAGCCTGCCAGCAGTGTGCCAGGGCCTGGGCCCCGCGCCGGCCACAGCCGTCCGCTCATTGGCCTGCCCCGCACACTTTGAAGGACGCGATTGGAAGGCGCCGCCTGTCCATCATTCCCTCTCTCCAGGCGGGGCCCCGCCAGCGCGGTCCCACCCAGGGCTCCTTCTGCCAGCGGTGGAGGTCCCTGGCCGTCCGACGCGACCGCCGCCGAGCCCCGTGCCTGCCTGCTTGCCTGCGTGGCTGTTCGCCCGTCTTCTCTGGCCAGCGCGCGTGTCCTCTGCGTCTCTGAGCGCCCAGCCCCCCGGATCTCTTCATTGTCTTCGCCTCCGTTTCTGCTCTTCTCGGTTTCTCTGAGCCTCACCTAGAGAAAAAGCAGCAGTTCGTTTACACAATTAAAAAAAAAAAAAAAAGGAATGAGATGGGGAGAGACTTCTGATTCAGTCGTCCAGATAGAACACATTTTCCCCCTTGCCCTGTACCCCAGGTCTATTTTGCCTGGATTCAGATAATTTATGTGCAAATTGAGAAATCTAATAGCTTAAAAAGAAGTCTCCATCTTGTCTGACTCTCCTCTAAGGAACCCTCCCTCCCCCACTTTTGGCTAAGAAGCGTTGGGAACTGGGAATTCTCTCCTACTACCTGGAGCACGTGTGGATGGGGTTTTGCCCTTGTAAATGTCCCTCGATTAACTGAAGTGCCATGTCTGAGCCGGTTCCAGTTGGTTAGCTTGGTCCAAAGCAGTGTCAGCCACTTACTGATTGCCCCCAAATTCTGGAAAGTGTTTGGAAGGGTCCTTATGAGAACACCCTACAAAAGGGAGAAAACGGAAGGGCAGGAGCACAAGAAAAATGAGGGTGTAGGAAGAAAAGGAAGAATCCAGGTGGGAGGCCTGTAGTGTGAGAGAAGGAAACAAGTATTAGACAATTAGGATGACAGGGGGAGAAGAGCAGGGTAGGGGCACTCCCCTGCGGCCCCTCATTTCAGGGTTTTGTCTCAAGTCAATCTTATGAACAGCCTTCCTGATATTTTTGCTGTTTTAGCCTGCTAGCCTTGTAGTATGGCAGACTGATAGCAATTACCTTAGTCCCAGTGAGAGAAAACTAAACAAACAAGAAAACACCATTTCACCTTACTTCTCTGTCAGCGAGATCCTCATGAAGTGTTTTTGGAATGCCATATGATGGAAAGAGTACAATGCATTAAGTGAGCACCTACTATGTGCTGTAGATGTAGAATACCCAAGCTTTACTCTCAAGAAGCACAGAGTCTACCAGTCAGTGTAGCAAGCAAGTACTGAACTAAATTTTTTTTTTCAGTGCTTAACGAGAAGGTCGAATCAAGAAGAAATATAAGGCCAACAGGGACAGTGACCCTCAAAGATACATATTATGTTAAAAGCTTCTCTGCTGCCGGTGGCGTACTTCAATACAGATAACTTCCTCTTCTGAGAACCACTGGCCCACGAGGTGTCCAGAAAAGATGCATTGAGGAAATAGCATTTGCAGTGGATTTTATAGGCTGGATAAATTTTTACCAGAGAGAAACAGGAAAAGCGAACTCAGAAATAAGAAAGCAAGTGCAAGGATCAGTGGGTTAATCCTTTGTGGTTTGGAACTTCAGGGAAGTGAGGGAAAGAGGGGAAAGAGAGAATTATACTTCAAAGTATAGTTGAAGTCAACTATACCTCAATAAAATATATATATACTATATATAAAGAAAAAAAATCCCACCAAAAAAAAAAAAAAACCAGAAAGAGAACCTGGTCTGTGAGGAAAGCTGATAAACTGGGCTTTAAACACAGCTGAAACTTCTGAGAAAACCCAGATGGTCAATTAGAAGGCAGTTAGATATGTAGCTCTGGAGCCCAAGGAAGCAACAGGAGAGGCTACCATGAAATCAGAACTTGCAAGGGTGGCAAAGTGTTTCCACAAAAAAACCAATATCAGATCATAAGTAGATTATAAATATTTGCTGAGTGAATAGATGAATGAGTGTTTATTAAATTAATCGAGAGAAGTTACGAAGAAAATGTCATGTGAGGTTGTTTTAGCCATAGTCCTTGCATTCTAGTTTCGGATCCTTCTGTAGAGATAGTAAATGGAAAACAAACCACCCTTTGGATTTTCAATCACTATTGTGCACTTGAGAGTCTCACTTAACAAACCTCCTCCTCCTTAGATACCTGTTTCTTCCTCCTGGAAAACCCTCTTCTCAGCTCAGTCAGTCCAGGCATACAGCCAGAATCAATTGAAGACTTTCCATCAGATGAGAAGAGTCTTTTTAATGGGCTGTGTCACCTCTGAAAGGAATGGACTTCTTGGAGAGAATTTTGCCTACAGAGTCAACAGGAAGAAAAACCATGAGAGAGTCTTGTCTGATGATAGTTATCTATGCACAGATCCATTGGCCTGAGATTCCTGCTCCATGTAGTATACAGTTAAGTGCAATAAGGAGGGTTGGCCTTGGAAACATCTCAGGGCTTTAAGTCTTCTCTTAATAGAGATCAGATAAGAGGCACTCAGGAGCAGCTGGTGCTAGCAAATATATATGGGCAGAATTTTCTAGAGCAGGAATTAATGGGAGAAGTAGAAAAGACAGTGTCAGGCACCAAAATTTCCAACATCTTTGTGATTGTAGTAGAGTTCTCTTCCAATTCCTGTACTCTCAGTGGTATTTTCTCCCTCCTTGTATTTTAAAATCTGTTGCCAGAGGAAGATTGGAATGCTGTGATCTGTGGGTGGTGATAGCAAGCCATTCCAGGAGCACTGAGATTTGATGGATATCAGATAGAGTCAAAGAAGAATGCAGGCCACACTGAGAAAGATTTATCTGGAGCTAAATCAGTTTCATTAACATTTCTACAGAGACGTCTCAATCCAGGAAAGGGATTGCACTTTCCTAGGAAAGGTTTGAAAATCTGAAAATCCGAGTTCGAGTGCCTCTGGTGCCCCTGGGCATGGAGGCACAAGAGAACACAGTAACGGGGTCTTTAGGGTCTACTGTGTAGGAGAGGGATGTGTCACCAGGCTTCTTCATTCACTGTGGCCAGGAAAAATGTTCCTCAAGGCTCTCTGTCTCCCTGCACCCCAGTACAACCTATGCTCCACCTATGAGGGTGCTTCACCCAATACAACTTCTGCTTCACCTGTGAGGGAAAGATGTGCTCTGGAGAGATATCACAGGCATTCCTCTCGCTGGGATAGAAACATTTCTTACTGTGAGTCGGGCAACTGATATCCCGAGTTTTGTTACTGTCAGTCTTCCTATATCATTGTTGGGAAGGAAATGTGATAGTCTAGTGGCACTTGCAGAATAAAAGACAAACCCTTGCAATCACTAGAGAAGAAGAAATAGGAAAAATAGAAGCCCTAAAATGATAATAACTTAATAATAAGTTCAAGTGGGAAAGGTGAACATAAAAACAGACCTCTTGGTAACTGTGGAGATGGAGGTTCCCAGAAAACTGAAGTGATTACATTATTTTACCTAATGAGTTATGTTTTGTAGTTTCCTCATTTCCAGGAGAAATAGAAACTTCTTAAGTGTCCAGAGCACATTTTTTTTCCCAGTTAGGTTCTGATGAATAAACTCTGCAGGCATCTAGAACTAATGAATATTTTTAAAGGGCATTCTTATCCTCCTTGTCTTGGGACCTAAGAAAAACTGAAGACTCAAGTTAGGACATTTTCAAATAAAACAAAGGGTGGGATCTGAATGTTAGAACCCCAGAACTATAATTTACTCGTGTCAAACCAAAAGTAGAAAGTTAAAAACTTAAGAGTGTCCTTAACAACACATAGTGCCTCTAAATGTTTGAATGAATGAGCAATCGAATGAATAAACTGAATGAATGGTACATGAAATAAAATAAATAGGCCTATTTAGGATAGTCACTCTGTCTACTTATAGTTTTCTATCTGGTTCGTTATTTGTTAGAGTTGCGATTCACAAATACTGATTGTCCAAGCACCAAAATTTGTAGTTTTAAGGGATTTGGAACATATTGCATTCATACAGCAATTAGTCATTGAGCACCAGCTTTGCCAGCATAAGCCTCAATACTAAGTATTTAAGAATTTAAAATATAGTAAAGACGCTCTTTTCTCTTCTCCATTTTCCTCTGTGTGGTTGAATTTACTCCTCCCCATGTCTTTTCACAAGAATTTGAAGATCAAGCAGTTTCTGACCAAGAAACAAAAGCAGAATCGTTCCATTCCCCAGTGGATTCAAATGAAAACTGGTAATAAAATCAGGTATAACTCCAAGAAAAGACACTGGAGAAGACCCAAGTTGGGTCTCTAAGAGCCTCATATACCAACTGGCACTCATTTATGCTATGGCAAGGTCACTGGCACCTTGCTTGAATCACAGTAGTGAGAACTCACTGCTGTCTGAACAGCTCATGGGAGAAACGGAATGTTTGACTCTTGGTGTTTCCTCAGTAGAGGTCCATGTGGCTCAGTAATAAATATGTGAAACATTGTTTGGGGGAAAAATTAAAAATAAATAAAATATAGTTAAGAATCCATGCCTTAAAGATACTGGGACGATTGGACACCAATTATAACAATTGTTTGCCAGTTATACAGTAGAATTCAGTATTGCTGTTAATGTTGACGTCCTCTAACAAGTAATGATTAGAAGAGATAAGACTGCAACCCAGTTGTATACCACGCACAATTGGTTTTTAGTTTGTTAAAGGATTTCTTTCTGAGAAGGTCAAAGGAGAGAATGAGAAACAGATTTTCCAGCTGAGGAAAACAGATGGAGTGAAAACACATCGATGGGCCCGGAGAGATGGAATCCCCCATCTCCGACGCCATCATGTCGCCGAGGAGGACCTGGGCGGGCGCGAGTGAGACCCTCTCGGGAAGCGGCCTGCCGCCCGGCCCTTACCTTTGTTGGTCGGAGGAGCCAGGAACAACAGCCCAGGCTCCAGCAGAGGAGGAGGAGGACGAGTTATATCGGCAGTCCCTGGAGATTCTCTCTCAGTACCTCCGGGAGCAGGGGACCGGCGCCAAGGACGCGAAGCGCCTGGGTGGGTCTGGGCCACCAGCCGGAGGGCGTTGGAGACCCTGCGCCGAGTCGGGGATGGGGTGCAGCGCCACCACAAGACGACTTTCCAAGGCATGCCTCGGAGACTGACATCAAAAACGAAGACGATGTCAGATCTTTGTCTCGAGTGATGGTTCATGTTTTCAGTGACGGAGTAGCAACTCGGGGCGGGATTGTGACTCTTATTTCTTTTGATGCCTTTGTGGCCAAACACTTGAAGAGTATAAATCGAGAAAGCTGCATCGAACCACTAGCAGAAAGCATCACAGATGTTCTCCTAAGGTCAGAACAAGACTGGATAGTCAAACTAAGAGGCTGGGATGGGTTTGTGGAGTTCTTCCATGCAGAGGACCTAGAAGGCGGCTTCAGAAACGTGCTGCTGGCTTTTGCAGGTGTTGCCGGAGTAGGAGCTGCTTTGGCATATCCAATAAGATAGCCTTTTAAGTGCAATAATTGACTCTTCAGCCACCAAAACAGCCACCAAAATCACCGCTGTGAACTCACACGTATCTATGAAGTTGGACGTCACGCTGTGCAGGTCATCATCTAACAATGGATAAAACCAAGTGACAGGAAGATTGTGGCTAACAGGAATAAATACAAGAGCAAAGTAATCTCCCTTGAAGAGTCAGTCTCTGAAAGAAGCTGAGTTCCGTTTCAGCAACAGGCAAACTTTGGGAAGCTATGGAGATGGACATTTTAGTTTTAGTGAAGATGCTAGAGTGGAGAGATTTTACCTAGAACAGGAAATTGGCCAGTGGACAGGCTAGTCATAGATACGCCCACTGAATTAATAAACTTCTATAGTGTTAAAATAGAAGCACTAACAATGCCAGTGGCATATGTAAAATTTATTTTAAGCCACAAGTAATAGAACTATGACAAGAAGCCTCAGTATTGTACCACGGAGTGTGAAGGGAAGCTTTTTCCTCTGTAGTTAGCTTTCCCAGGTGTGATTCTTCAATAGACCAAATGCTCAGGATGTTTATACCTGTTCTGCTTTGGCTGGGTTTGAGCGATTCTTATTTGCCTAATGTCATGGCCAAGAATACTGAAAGTTGGAATAGAATCACAAATTTGGAATGTTGAGTTTTGAAAAAGTTGCATTGGTCTGTAAAAATTGTTTATATTCTTGCAGAGTAGTATTAATCAAAAAGGAGATAAAACAAAATTTTACTTTCATTTTTTCATACCCTTAAATTTACAGCTTCTATAGTTAGGAACCTGTTTCTTACAGCTTTGCTATTCTAATCTTTGTTCTAGTCAATACTAGATTGTATACAGAACCAGCTGATGTGATTGTATGCAACCTGGTGTAGTAGAACAATTCTGATAACTATGCAGGCTTTAATTTTCCTATCTTGATTTGGGTAAGTATTTCTTAAAATGCTGTTTGGGGTTTTTTTGTTTTTTTTTAACCTGGGACTGAGAAATTTATGGAAGTTAATCCTTTCACTTTGTTACACCTGGGTTTTCAATAATTGAGTCAAGGTTTTAAGATTTATTTTGGGGGGCGGAACACACTGGCTGATGACTTTCAGATGATGGGCTCTGATTGGGCAACTACTTATTTTGAATTCCTTCCATTTGACCTAATTTAACTGGTGCAATTTAAACTGAGTTCATGAGCTCATCTTCAAAGCTTTTGCTAAAAGATTTTCAGCTGTTCCAAATGGGACTTGTTATCAGACAAGACTCTGTTCATGGCCTCAAGAATCTCATCAGGTGGATGAGAGACACTTGACCCCTATTTGCTTAATAAATTGTACAATAATGGCTTGGCAAAGCAAGCTATAGTCTATCCATGGTGCTATTATTTAGGCTTGCTTGTTAAACACAGGTCTAAGCCTGGCCTGTGAATAAAACAAATACTTATTTCATTTTTATTAATGATTCTTGAACTTTGTTTCAGATTTTTACATTGGCATCTCTATAGGTTTCAGACTTGATGTTTTACCTAACTTACTGTTTATTTCCTATCCTTCCTTAAAATATTTGCTGCTTATTCTGCTCCCTCTACCCATATTTGTATTAGTCCCTACAAATTTACCTTGCCATTCCTGAACTCTTACTAGCCCTTTTATTTTTTGGCATTAGGAACCTAAGTGACCGCCCATGGAGTCCACTGACCTTCCTCATTTTTTAATTTTATCTTAGGAGATGGCAGTACAGTGGATGTTGACAGTAACAGTCATGAGGTGAGAAGAGTCCCTTCTTGTACTAGTATCTTATTGGTTGTTGCTTAACTCTGGGGAGAAATTTTCAAAAGTCCCCTTAGGGGATTTCAGAGAAGGGGATAACTCTTAGGTGATTTTTCTCTAGGTACCTTTGCATTTGAATATGCTCACTTAAAATTGATGGGTTCTGTTAAACCTCAAAGTTATATAAAAGTTACTAGTAAACCCAAGAAAACTATAGTGGAACCAGGATCATTTGAAAACTTCAGTCTCTGAATGTGACCTTTAGTTTGTGGACTCCAGACAAAAATAGACATGAATAAAATGACTAAGAATGTAATAAGGGAACAATTGCTCTGCCTGCCCATCTCTAAGCCTTAAGGTCATCTAGCTAGAGCTATTTTTTTATCTGTGTATTTATCATTGCTGATCAGAAACCACTCATTTATATCATGTCTATCTCTAAGGACCTAAAAGCACTTTATGTAGTTAATCTTAAGATATAGTTAAGGTGACTGAAAGGCCTGTCTCCCCATAGCCAGTTGTGGAAATAAGTACAGAGATGTAAATTGATGAAATTTAGGGACCCCGTCTTCACTTTACTAGGTGTGAGTGCTGAAATGTAAAGGAGGATCTAAAATTGATATTTTGGTCAGCAGCTTGTGATAAGGGTTTAGGGAGTCCAAGTGCTTTGGGGCAAGGTGAGTGCCTCTGGAGGGAGAAGAGGCATATGTTTTGTTTTTTTTTTTTTTCATTTATTTTTATTAGTTGGAGGCTAATTACTTTACATCATTGCAGTGGTTTTTGTCATACATTGAAATGAATTAGCCATGGATTTACATGTATTCGAGGCATATGTTTTAAGTGCTGACTGGCTGCCCTAGTGCTGGCAAATCCTCCACAACGGGAAGGGAGGGGCTGCTTGGAAAGATGGCTCTCAACAAGTTCTGCCTGGTGCTTCTCTCAGGGAAAATCCTGCAGTCCTTTAGTGGTACATTCTGTTGGGGGTGAACAACTTGGTTCTGGTTAAAACAGCTAATGCTGTTGACAGCTGTGCCAAGAAGAGTTAGGACCAACAAACTAATGTGGGCTATAAAATGTAGTGTGTTTCCCTAACTTCCTGTTTTGCCTGAGAAGAAAATAAATATTTTATTCAAATGCAAAAAAAAAAAAAAAAACGAAACACCCACATAGATGGCATACTCAAGGCTGGAAAGATGGTGCTTTGAACACTAGGATAAAAGGTGTACGCAAGAAACTGACGACTTTACTACTATTGGAAAGTGCAACATCCAGAACTCAGTAGGGAAGAGAATCTGGAATCTACCTGTCACAGGGAAATTGTCACACACTCACTGCAATTTATCAGCCATAAATATAAATAAAATTATAAATATTCCACTGATAGTGACACCGTTGTTTTCTCCTGTGTCACTGATTTTCAAAGATCAAGAGAAAAAGAAAATCCGTTTACACTGAAGCGCAAAACAGCTGAGGAATATAAACACATAACAGTAAACAACCACTTAGAGACGCGGAAGTCAGCAATTCCTCCTGCCTTTACGGTGGCAGGAAGACCGTCAGGACGGCGGCTCGTTGGTCTAGGGGTATGATTCTCGCTTAGGGTGCGAGAGGTCCCGGGTTCAAATCCCGGACGAGCCCTCCTTTTTTTCCCCCTTTGAATTAAATCCATTTCTAAAGAAATTAACTTTAGATCTATAAATGTAATAAATACATGTTGGCGAAAAATACAAAACTGAGACCTTTTGAACTTATAGCACACTTTAAGTTCAAATACCATTAAAAGACATAACATGAAAACGTAGCAAGTTTGAGAGCAATGTGGTGCTCTGAAAAGACTCATCCCCATTTCTGCCAGCTCCAGAGTCGAGCACGTTTGTTGCGCATCTCCGGTGCCTACAGGTGCGACCTAAATCTGCTCACGCCGGCGCTCGTCCGCCTGCACGGCGCCCGTGGGAGGCGGGCTGCGCGCCCGCTCACCCGGGCCCGCCGACCCTCCGTGCTCCCGCTCACGCTCGGAGTGTTCCGGGGCTGCCCCGGGGTCCGCACGAGGCATGTCTGTTTCCCGAGCACGTGTGTTTCAAAATGGTACACGTATTTGCATATCTTGCCCTCAGACGAAAAAGACCACATATTGGATGAATTGATCTCATTTGATCTTTTACTTCTTGAAAAGTACTTCTTGATCATATTCAAGGTTTGAGCTAGAATAGTTTCATTTCAGCCTTTAAACGAGCCATGTAGGGGAAAAAAGTTTTAAATTTTACGTCTTATGCAAGAAAAATCCTGGGCTCGTCCGGGATTTGAACCCGGGACCTCTCGCACCCGAAGCGAGAATCATACCCCTAGACCAACGAGCCGCTCTCGGCAAAAACCACCTCAGAGCCTTCCTTCAGCCTTATCCGACCGCCGGCTGCACCACCTGACCGATCTCAGCTGGAGAATCGCCTCTCCTTTCCCAGGTCTCGGGTCAAAACGCCTTTCGCCACCCAAAGGGGCCCCAGGAAGGGACGTGCATTTTTCCCCAGCGGGGTCGGCCTTATCTCCCGGCGCCTGGGCTCTGCGCCGCCGCCTGCGGCCATCAGCACAAGATCCGGGAAGCCGCCTTCCACGAGCCAGGACCGCCCCTGGAAGGCGGGGGCGGCAGGGCGGTGGAAGCCCGGGCTAGGAGGGCGCAGGCAGGGCCCCGCGGAAGTCTCGGACTCCGCCAGGCGCTCGCAGCCCAGGGTCTCCATACACCAGTTTCGCTACTTGCGGGTAGGTCCCGCCGCTCTCAGCTCAGACCAGCCTCAGAGCACTTGGCTGTGTGCAGCGCGCCTCATCCGCATTCCCAGCCTCTGCTTGGCCGCCAGAAGACGCTCGGCTGCCGACGACTCTCATGGGTGGGTGGAGCGGGAAAAGCCTCGAGGAGCTGGCGAGAAATGGGAAAGGATGCACCTTATCCCTGCAAGGGAGTGTTGGGGCAAAGAATTCTCAAAGGGGAGAGTATTGACAGATATCTTTTTTTCCAACGTTCATTTTGAGATCACGCACCTTGCATGTACTGAGCTCACTGCGTATTTGTAACAGTCTGTGTCTAACGTAATAACCTCATTTCGCAGTTAGGTATTTCAGGAGACATGGCGAGGAAGTGGTATGGTAGGCACAGCAACTACCCAAGTCTTAGAAGGTGTGGTGGATGGGGAGGATCATGAAAGGAGCAGGAAGGGAGACAGGGTTTGGTGCCTTGTTAGCTTGGAGGAATAGAGAAGGCAGTGGCAGTGGGCAGAACCTTTGACCTAGCACCACCTCCCCTTCATCCCCTTCTGTAATAGGGAAGAACAAATCTGATTCCATATTGTATCTGTTTTTGTTTGTTTTGTTTTTTACTTTAACCTGTGCGTTGTATTGCTTTTCCTACAAGGTAATTACCACTTCAGCATTCTTGCCTGGAGAGCCCCGTGAACAGTAGGAAAAGGCAGAAAGATATGACACCGAGAGATGAACCTCCCAGTTGGGTAGGTGCCCAATATACCAGAGAAGAGCGGAGTAATAGCTCCAGAAGGAATGAAGAGGCTGAACCAAAGCGAAAACAACATCGGGGTGTGGATGTGTCTAGTGGTGGAAGTAAATTCTGATGCTATAAAAGACAATATTGCATAGGAACCTGGAATGTTAGGTCCGTGAATGGAGGTAAATTGAAAGTGGTCAAACAGGAGATGGCAAGAGTGAACATCGACATTTTAGGCATCAGTGAACTAAACTGGGCAGGAATGGGCAAATTTAATTTAGATGGCCATTTTATCTACTGCTGTGGGCAAGAATCCCTTAGAAAAAATGGAGTAGCCGTCATAACCAACAAGACTCTGAAATACAGTACTTGGATGCAGTCTCAAAAGTGACAGAATGATCTTGGTTTCCAAGGCAAACCATTCAATATCACAGTAATCCATGTCTGTCCCCAACCACTAATGCCGAAGAATCTGAAGTTGAACGGTTCTAGAAAGACCTAAAGACCTTCTAGAACTAACACCAAAAAATGATGTCCTTTTCATCATAGGGGACTGGAATGCAAAAGTTGGAAGTCAAGCGATACCTGGAGTAACAGGCAAGTTTGGCCTTGGAGTACAAAATGAAGCAGGATAAAGATTAACAGTTTGGCCAAGAGAATGCACTGGTCATAGCAAACACCCTCTTCCAACAATACAAGAGAAGACTCTACACATGGACATCACCAGATGGTCAGCACTAAGATCAGATTGATTATATTCTTTCCAGATGAAGATGGAGAAGCTCTATACAGTCAGCAAAAATAAGACTGGGAGCTGACTGTGGTTCAGAACATGAACTCCTTATTGCAAAATTCAGACTTGAAGAACATAGGGAAAACCACTAAGCCATTCAGGTATGACCTAAATCAAATCCCTTATAATTATGCAGTGGAAGTGACAAATAGATTCAAGGGATCAGATCTGGTAGAGTGCTTGAAGAACTATGGACAGAGGCTTGTAACATTGTACAGGATGCAGTGATCAAAACCACCCCCAAGAAAACAGAAATGCAAAAAGGCAAATTAGTTGCCTTCGGAGGCCTTACAAATAGCTGAGAAAAGAAGAGAAGCAAAAGGCAAAGGAGAAAAGGAAAGATATTCCCATTTGAATGCAGAGTGCCAAAGAATAGCACGAGAGATAAGAAAGCCTTCCTCAGTGATCAATATGAAAAAAATAGAGGAAAACAATAGAATGGGAAAGACTAGAAATCTCTTCAAGAAAATTAGAGATACCAAGGGAACACTTCATGCAAAGATCGGCACAATAAAGGACAGAAACCGTGTGTACCTAATGGAAGCAGATATGAAGAAGAGGTGGAAAGAATGCACAGAAGAACTATACAAAAAAGATCTTCATGACCCAGATAACCACAATGGTGTGATCACTCACCTAGAGCCAAACATCCTGGAGTCTGAAGTCAAGTGGACCTTAGGAAGCATGACTACGAACTGAGCTGGTGGAGGTGATGGAATTCCAGGAGAGCTATTTCAAATCCTGAAAGATGATGCTGTGAAAATGCTGCACTCAATATGCCAGCAAATTTGGAAAACTCAGCAGTGGCCACCGGACTGGAAAAGGTCAGCTTTCATTCCAATCCCAAAGAAGGGCAATGCCAAAGTATGTTCAAATTACTGCACAATTGCAGTCATTTCACATACTAGCAAGGTAATACTCAAACTCCTTCAAGCTAGACTTCAACAGTATGTGAACTGAGAACTTCCAAATGTTCAAGCTGGATTTAGAAAAGGCAGAAGAACCAGAGATCCAATTGCCAACATCTGTTGGATCATAGAAAAAGCAAGAGAATTCCAAAAAAGCATCTACTTCTGCTTCATTGACTACACTAAAGCCTTTGACTGTGTGGATCACAACAAACTGTAGAAAATTCTGAAGATGGAACACCAGATCACCTTGACCTGCCTCCTCTGAAACCTGTATGCAGGTCAAGAAGCAACAGTTAGAACCGGACAGACTCTAGCAACAGTTAGAACAACAGACTGGTTCCAAATTGGGAAAGGAGTATGTCAAGGCTGTATATTGTCACCCTGCTTATTTAACTTATCTGCAGAGTACATCAGGTGAAATGCTGGGCTGGATGAAGCACAAGCTGGAATCAAGACTGGAGGGAGAAATATCAAAAGCCTCAGATATGCAGATGATACCACCCTTATGGCAGAAAGGGAAGAAGAACTAAAAAGTCTCGTGATGAAAGTGAAAGAGGAGAGTGAAAAACCTGGCTTAAAACTCAGCATTCAAAAAACAAAGATCATGTCACCCAGTCCCATCACTTCATGGCAAATAGATGGGGAAACAATGACACTTTATTTTCTTGGGCTCCAGAATCACTGCAGATGGTGACTGCAGCCATGGAATTAAAAGACGCTTGCTCCTTGGAAGAAAAGCAATGACAAACCTAGATAGGGTATTAAAAAACAGAGACATTACTTTGCCAACAAAGGTCCATCTAGGTTTTTCCAGTAGTCATGTATGGATGTGAGAGTTGGACTATAACTAAAGCTGAGCACCGAAGAATTGATGCTTTTGAACTGTGGTGTTGAAGACTCTTGAGAGTCCCTTGAACTGCAAGGAGATCCAACCAGTCCATCCTAAAGGAAATCAGTCCTGAATATTCATTGGAAGGACTGATGCTGAAGCTGAAACTCCAATACTTTGGCCACCTGATGCGAAGAACTGACACATTGCAAAAGACCCTGATGCTGAGAAAGATTGAAAGCAGGAAGAGAAGGGGACAACAGAGGACAAAATGATTGGATGGCATCATCTACTCAATGGACATGAGTTTAAGCAAGCGCCAGGAGTTGGTGATGGGCAGGGAAGCCTGGCATGCTGCAAGTCCATGGGGTTGCAAAGAGTGGGACACGACTGAGCGACTGAACTGACTGAGCCACTAAGGAAACCCAGCTGACGTTATGAAAGTGAAAGTGTTAGCTGCTCAGTCCTGTGCCAGTCTGAGATGCCGTGGACACAGACTGCGAAGCTCCTCTCGCCATGGGATTCTCCAGCCAAGGACGCTTGAGTGGGTTGCCATGCCCTTCTCCAGGAGATCTTCCCAGCCCAGTGAGTGAACCCGGGTCTCCTGCTTTGCAGGCAGGCTCTTTACCATCTGAGCCACCTGGGGAGCAACTGACAATATAGGTTTCTCTAAATACACGTAATTTTTTCAAAACTTCACATACAACTACACCATCAAGGGCCAGAGTCCCCATGAGGAATCCTAGCCCATTTCAACCTCTTCCTTCTACATCTTGTTTCCCTCGTAGCATCTCCTTGACTGTGCCAGGGTGTTGCAGGTCCCATGGAGAGCCCAGAACTTTCCAGGAGGAGGAGTCAAGAATTCTCCTTGTTCCTGTTTTTGAAGTGGGTGGCTCCCTTTATAATGGGAGGCATTTAACAAATTCACCATCTCCTCTTTCTCTGAGGGGGATCAAAGAACCACAGTTTCCTGCCCCGTTTGACTGCACTTGTGGCTTCTCCAGAGTTCCCACAGCTTTCCTTGACTCTGAGGGCAGAGCTGCAGTATTGGTTTTCTCAGCCTCCACAGTCACTCTGACCACGACGTCACTGGACCTGCCTTCTCTGAGCAGGACTGGGAAGTCAGGAAAGCGTGGAAACTGCTCCCAGACATTCGTGTACTCTGCTGTTCTTTTTCAGTCCCTTCTAGAAGGTTTTCTAGAACAAACTCAATTCAAGATGTGATGACAAAGGTCTAAAATATTCTCTTTCTCAGGATATGCATTTTGACTGGGAAGACTAGCGGCAGTGGAATCAGTTGCTAATTACATCATTTCAGGCATCTGGTACCAGCGAGGGCGTCCGGCAGTGACAAATGTTGAGGATAATCCTATTCCAGTCTGAAATCAGCTCAATCATTCCTTACTTAATAAGTATTTATGGAGCACCTATAATACATGAGGCACTGGCACAATGAAAAACATAGACACTGACTTAACCCATTGGAGCTCCGGACTGGCTCTGGACACAGCAAACATCACATAAAAAACAAGACTGATTTTCTTTGGTGGCTTCTGAAAACCAATTCTGTTTTATTTGAGTAGCACTTAAATTTTGCTGTTTTGTTTTTCGTTTTTGCCTACCCAGCATCATTTCTTTTAGTTACAGCACTCTGGTTTAACCTTGAGGCACCCTGTTACTTCCATTCACAGTCCTTGAAGATGACAGAACTAACTCACCTAGCCCCTAACTGCAGGGGAGAGCATGTGACCGGGGACTGGCCGATCTGATCCTGCATCTCCTTGTTCATAACGTGGATGTGTGATGCCCAAGTAGCCTACAGAAAACCTCTGTAGGATTTTCCCGACAGTTATTAGGAGACAATAAGCTCTTTCTATTGGGTTTGCAGGCTGGAAAGAGCCTACTTGAGACTATGGTCAACAGAAGAGAGCAGAGCCCAGTAATAGAGATTTCTGACATTGCTTAATTGATTGTATACAGGTCTGTCCATGGATTGTCAATGTATATTATTCAGTGTATAGGCAAATAGAGAAAGGAAGGGGGCGGGGTGGGGAGGGGGAGAGAGAGAGACTCATAGACTTAGCTGTTTTGTATCAGCCAGTTTGAGTTCCTTTCATTAGCAGCCAAAGGTCCTCATTCATTCAACTGCATTAAACTTTTATACCTCTAAGAGCACTTAATCAAAAGATGATGATGAACTATTTGTCCATGCACTCCTTTGTTCCATTATCTAACATATTTTAATGATTAGTCAATTGGTCACAAGCCAAAACTGGTCTGGCAAACTGGATCCTGTTCAGGGTGACCTCGGTGAAGACAGTGGAGTCCTGAGTCTCCTGGGTTTTTGTGGTCATAGCCGGTTGGTTACCTAATGATACATGCAGCTCAAACAGCTTCACAGCGCCCTTTTCAATACTGGCATATTCCTTCAAAACAGCCAGGTTTTTTTCATGCTCCCTCTCTGGAGAAAGGAGAAACACAGTTTAAAATTCAAGCTGGACCACAAAGGAATTGGAAGAATGATTCTGACTCTTTTCTTCAACCTTGTAACTGTGAAGAAACAGTGTTTTCCTTCAACCTATTAACAGAGCCTGAATGAAAGAATGTCTTCCTGGCCTGGTGATGACTCTGTTCCACCTAAAACACGAATGGATTTCTTTAATCCCCAGTGTGAAGTCCTAGTCTCAGTTAAGGTGATGCATCGCTGAACCACAGTGTTTCGAGAAGAGAGAGCATTAAACACCCAGGCTGCAGCACCAACAAGGAACAGGGTCCTGCGTACGCTTCATGAATTCCCCACCAGGAGTCACCAGTAACAATGCCTGGGAATAGGGTCTCTTATGTTCTCGCAAAACAGATCAAATATGTGATTAACAGGGAACTAGTGAGGCTTTTGATACCATCACACATGCTCCTTCAGTGTCACATTCTTGTCATTTTTATTGCTTCTTCATCTGCTACTGTAAGGTATGTAAGATAGAGTTTTATTTTTACATTCACATCCCATCTAGTCCATGCCTCTCTCTCGTAAGGAAGAGTGGCAGATTTCCCCTTTCACCACACACACCCTCAGCCAAGGTCACATTCTCAGATCTCTTGCCTAGATATGTGCATGTATATATAAACAACCCAAAGACGTATATAAATAAATCCATGTATTGTTTAGGGGGTATACATCTCTGTCAAGAGATTAGATAGGTAGATAGACAGATGATAGATAGTATATAGATCTCAAAATAACTGACACACATGTCTCCCAAACTCTGCTAAAATACAAAACTTATTATAGTATCAGTCTTCACTAGATTACAAGATTTAGAAGCTACATTCAATTTAAAAATAGCTTTTGAAAAAATGTATATATCAAATATTAATAGTATTCTGGAGTTAGAAAAACTGTAATGAGGTGATAAAAACTGAGGTACCAGTGGTGAGATAAGGCCTTTTAGTCTGGGAAACTACTTTTTGAAGTCAGAGTAGACAGAGTATGGTCTAAGAGACCTCCAGAAAAACAACGGCTCCAACTACCAAATCTGCATGTTGAGATACTGAAATAAATCTGAGTAAGGAGCAACACTAAAGATTAAAGTTTATTTGGATGAGCATCTTTCAGCAGGAGTGTGTGAAGGGGGAAGAGGGTATGTTAAGAAAAGGGCAGTCAGGCCCCCTGTTCCTAGCGAAGCTTCCTGCACTCTCTCAACAGAATGTTAAAGCAAGAGCTATTCAGGGAGAACAGACCAAAGAGCCACTCCATCCCTCCTGAGTCAGAGAGGAGACCCTGGGTTTCCGTTCAAGTCAGGGAAGGATGTCCTTATTATGTGGGTTGCACATCATGATGCCCAGTGCACTTCGCAGGAGATAGCTAACCCAAGCTCGGGGCTCCCCTGCCTGGAAGCACAAACTTCATCTTCCCAGGATAAGCCAGAGGGCAGGCACTGCTCAGGTATCACTGCTTTGCTTTCAGGAAGAGGAAATGAAGTGCAGACCTGTGAAACCTCTTGACATTCTGCCTCCCCAAAGGAGTCGCTGCCTGCCTCTGCCTCCTTGTCCTGAGCTGAAAATTCCCAACTGGAGAATCACCAGATGGGAGAGCTCCTGGTAAATTACCAGATGGGAAAGCTCCAAATGGGGAGCTGCCCTGGTGGCTCAGAAAGTAAAGTCGGCGGCCTGCAATGCTGGAGACCCGGGTTCAGTACCTGGGTGGGGAAGATCCCCTGAAGAAGGAAATGGCGACCAACTCCAGTCCTCTTGCCTGGAAAATCCTATGGATGGAGGAACCTCATAGGCTACAGTCCATGGGGTCACAAAGAGTCTGACACGACTGGGCGACTTTGCTTTCACTTTCAAAGCTCCTGTTGCTGAAACAGACACATATTTTTAAATGTTTCAATAATTATCTCTTCTAGTCCAGTGTTTTCAAAATTGGTTGACCAGTCAGATTTGACCAAGCTGAAAGGTTGTTTCAGGGTCTCCCTACAATTTCAGGTCTTCTGTAACTTACAGGATGTATATTTCCAGTGATACTACTTTGATTCTAGCCACCTGAAATGAGTTTTTACTTATATTTGAAAACTATGAAAACTTAGGAATAATAAAAAGGCCATCACTTTATATAAACACAATCTGATTAGGTAAATGCCAGTCCAGTTCTGAGGTCAGCTGTAGGGATAGGTGGGTGTGGATCTGGGCCCCACAGGTTGACCAGTATCCCTGGGGAGTTGTCACCACAGCAAGTTGTTTTAAATAAGTTTTCTTAAAAAAACAAAACAAAACAAAACCAAAAACAGTCCATCAAGTGACACAAATTGATGCGCCTTCTGCCCGCAGACCCCCTCCCCGTCTGCGGCGGTGTGGAGGTTGGGGACGGCACCCTGTGTCTTCAGGCTGACTTCAGCCCTTCAGCCCTGCGTGTCCTGCAACGGCTTCCTTTGCTGTTACTGTGATCCTCGCTGCTACTTTCAAAGACATGGCTCCAGCAGCTGCATCACTAGGTGCAATGTGCTCTTCACAGTTTAGTGTCCTGGACAGGGGTGTTATCCTGAGAGCAAAAGAGGAAGGAATAAATTAGGAGGAGAGGAGGGAAATCTGGACACTCAGCTTGTCTTCCTGGGGGTGCTAAGTCAGGTAACAATAGTAACAGTGGAAATAATGCCATGTGACTGACATAGATTTTCATACTCATCAACATATTTACTTCTCAAAAAGCAGTGTGAGTTTGGAACTTCTGTTTGCTCTCTTTTATGGGTGGGTTAATTAAGGCACAGAGAAGTCAAGTGACTTCCCCTAGGTCATACAGCTAGCAAGTGGGGGAGTCAGGATTCGCCTGGGATCAGAGCTTGGGCTCTCAACAAGGACATTGCCTTTTCCTTGATGCTTGGCCTCCCATGTCCTCACTGCCCTAGCTTCTCCCCTCATCACTCACTCCCGTTAATTTCATCATCCTGAAACACTGCTTAAGAATCAAAGAGAAGGAGGGAAAGTACCTCATGAGCAGGAATGTACATGGCTAAACAGGAGTTTCAGGTTTGGTTGAAAGTGACTGAAGAGACAAAGTAAGCCGCAGTCTGGTTTTGGGAGTGTGGAATGAGGGACTGCTGGCCTGTGGGGGCAGGGCTGGTGCTAAGCCGTCGGGAGCGGCCGGGAGGTGGTGGGGAGGGCCAGCTGCAATAGTCACTGATGCTGCCGGGAGGCCGAGAAGGGGCCAGGGCAGCCCAGACAGACAGACGTTAAAGGGCGGAGGTGGTTTCTAGGGGGGGTTGCCAGCATCAGCTATTTCAGAGAGGTGAGGATGACAAGAGCAGAGACATGTCAGGTCTTTGGTGGCTGGGAGGGCATGACTGAGCTTCAAAGTCACTGGTAAGAGTGAGGGTCAGAGAGCAAAGTTGAGAGATTTATCTTTAGGATTAGAGATAAATGTTTGTAGGCAGAAAGGGGCGAGCTAGTGAGGTGCTGGAAATTCAGACGAGTCACCGAACAGGAAAATCCTGGTCTAACCCCTCGCTGAAAAGGCACACGTATGCTCTACAAATATCTTGTAGAAAAGTCCAGAAAACGACTGACACAGCAGACAAGGCGGGTAGTCTTACCAAGGATAAAGGGCCTCTCCTTGGATTCACAGGGAAAAGAGACTCTTTGAGGGTATGAGGCAGGTGACAAACAGGCTGGTCTTCCTTTTGGGTAAACAGGAGATGAGGTCATTTGCAAAGCAGGAGAGGAAGAGGCAGGCAGTGAGTTGGGGGAACGGGGATGAAAACAGGATGATACAGAAGCAGTAAAAGGGTGTCCCGGCAGAGGATGGATATGGTTCAGCCAGGTTGGTAAGAGTTTATAACAGATCCAGGCAGCATGGTTTTGTGAACTCCACCAATGACATTCACAAGTCTTGACAAAGAAGCTGGGTGTGAGAGTGACTGGACTTTGGGGATTAATATAGAAAATCAGAGCAGTTCTATGGTGAAACCAAGATTAAGGTGCAGAAGGACACCAAAAACATGCAGAAGGACAGCTCATAAGTGACTGTCTCCAAGAAGGGACAGGAATTGTCCAAAGTCACAGAGCTCAAGTTGACACAAAGGATACCAGCTCTACTCATCAGAATAAACTGCTTCACAAAAGAACTTCTGTAAAAATCCAGATAATTTATTTAATCTGGAAGGGGCACTGCTTCTAACTCTCTTTTGGTCTTCTCAAGCCTGGTCAAGGTAGAGCCAAAATACCTCAGGCAATGGTGCCAAAGGATTTCCCGGGGAAGACAAGTATGAGGCAGGCCCTTGGGTCACAGGCTTCCCCAGGGATACCATACCTGCCCCAGGTCTTTCCTGGATCAGGCAGAGGCAGCTTGAACTAAAGAAACACTTTCCAACACCGCCCTCTCTACCTCCGCCTCTAACCCCCATCTTCTTTGATTGGTAGAAATATATTGATCAGATCAACTACACAAGAATATGCTCAATGTCAAAGACTGTCAAGAGGAAGGGATAAGTATAATGCAGGAATTTAAAAAATATATCTTTGTCCAGAATAACTGCAACTGAGCCCATCAAGCCCAAATAGGACTGAAAATGTGAACACTGAGTGATTTATGGTGATTATGCCTACTAAAGAGAAGGCACAAAGAGAAAGATGAGGATAGAGATTCAAAATTCATTCTCACAGATAACAAAAATTTACTGTATAGCACAAGGAACTATATTCGATATCTTGTAATAACCTATAATAGCAAAGAATGAATATGTATAATCAAATCACTTTGCTGTACCCCTGAAACTAGCACAATATTGTAAATCAATTTTAAAAAATCCATTCTCCATACTCCCATGTTGCTAGAATCTTTAAAATGAGAATTTGTTCTGTGCACTATGTAATAAAAATTAGAGTTTACCCAGTAATTTTAGATACAGGTCAGTTGGAAAATGATTCTAACATTTATTAATTTAGTTCATTAATTAATTGACATTAATAAAATAGGCAAAATAGGAGAAAGTCTTTGCTATGCCTGCCAGCTTCTATTTTAAAATTACACTAGGAATCTATAGACCATATCTTTTGTTTACCTTACCAAATTTTGCCAATTCTTTAAGAAAAGTGGATAAACTGAAAGTCCCAGTGAATAGCATATTATTACTGGTCTGATGCAAGGGAAAAAGGGGAAGTTTGGATATACAGTTTCTGGAAAAGACATTATTTTCAACTGAGTCTTTTTTTGTTCACTTGGCACCTCACACACATACTCATATTTATCTCTGTATATTAAAGAATTTAACATACTAAATCCTCAAGAATTTTTTCAAGAATTTATCATTCTTCAATTAAAATCTCCTTGGGAGTGGAAGTGTGTTTGTGGCCAACACAGACACACACTATAACTAGTACAGGGTTCTGCACATAGTGAGGATGTGACACATGCAATTAAATGAGAAATGAGATGCTGTTAAGCTCTTATAAAGAGGCAGCACCTCGCATTTAAGTAATAAGAAAATGAAACTAGTGTCTTGAAAATCAAAAAATCCAAAAATTTTAAAGTATTACTATTGAAGACAGAACATTCAAAAGTTACATTAGGATCTGGAGTATAAAAACACAACCACAAAAAAGGAGGGCTGGAAGGGTGTATGCATGCCAGGCCTATGCAATCTGGGCACAGTCCTAAACGACAGCTCTCAGAGGGCATTTGAGAGCTACAGGCTCTGAGTCTGTTCAACCAATTTTGTGCTTATAAATTATTTCACCTAGTTGCTTCAAGAATCTAGATAGTAACCACTGGAAAAACCAAACCAAACCAAACACACAGGCAGGGTTGGGGTACAGAGAAGGTGAGCGTCAGGGGAAGCTCGGCAGGGGCCCCCACGCAGAGAAGGGCCTCACAGAGGGTTTGGAATCTGTGTTTTGAGCTCCCTGGAAGCCATGGAACAAGGGCGAGCAGAAGTGAGTGAGTTGTCTTCCTCCAAACATATGTCCAATCCTAACCCCCAGTCCATGTGCATGTGACCTTATTTGGAAAGGGGATCTTTGTAGAAGTACTTAAGGCTCTCAAGAGAGATCATTCCAGACGTAGGGTGGGCCCACATCCAATGACTGGGGTCCTTATGAGAGAGGAGAGGGAGTTTTGAGGTGCACAGAGACAGACCATGTGAAGAGAGTCAGAGGTTGGGGTGATAAGTCTACAAACCTGGGAATGCCAAGAATTGCTGACAACATTCAGAAGCTGGAAGAGGCAAGACAGGATTCTCAGGGTTGCCAGCAGTCACAGAAGTTAGAGAAAAAAGTTAGAGAAAGGCATGGAGCAGACTCATCCTCCAAGCCTCCATAAGGAAGCAACCCTAAAACACCCTGCTTTTGGAGTTCTGGCCTCCAGAACTGTGAGACAATACATCTGTATTGTTTTTAAGCCGCCAATCTGTGCTAATTTGTTATGGCAGCCCTGAGGACATGAGTAATTTTAGAAATTACTCACATTTAGAGTAAACACACAAGCACCCCTCTTTGGTTGCTGTACAGAGAATGGACTATGCAGGCAGGAAAAATGGGAGCAGGAAGCCAGATAAGAGGCTAATGCAGTCAGAGGCTGCTGGTGGCTTGAGTGAATGAACGAACTAATACAAAGGGAAGGGGAAACACTGGAGGGTGACTTTGTTGATGAGACTGTCAGGGGTGGTGGCAGGGGATGGGACACAGAACTTTTCTTGTGGAAGCCTGGTCTTGCTCCTGAGGCATAGGTAGGTGAGGTCAAGGTAGGCTTCCTGGGAGTGGTAGAAGGAGCCAGGTGAATAAATGCAGGTCCAGCAGGAAGGAAGGGACTGAGGCACTCCCTCCACCCATGTGGAGTAGGTATCTAACCCCTGTGCATGAATAGGTGAAACATAAAGTGTAGTGAAGCCGCTCAGGCGTGTCTGACTCTGCGACCCCATGGTCTGTAGCCTACCAGGCTCCTCCATCCATGGGATTTTCCAGGCAAGAGTACTGGAGTGGGCTGCCATTGCCGTCTCCAGGGGATCTTCCTGACCCAGGGATCGAACCCAGGTCTCCTAGCATTAGTAGGCAGACGCTTTAACCTCTGAGCCACCAGGGAAGCCACATAGACGGAACATAAAGCCTCCTCTATTCATTTTGTGTGCTCTCTTTTTTAAAAATTATTTTATTTTCAATTGGAGTATAGTTTTATATTAAAAATTTTTTATTCTTTTTTTTTTTATTGTAGTCACAAAACCTCCTTTAAAGGCCCAAATCAAAAGCTACCCTCACCCTGAAGCTGCACTGACTGTTTCCCCCACTTGTGCTCCAGGCTTTCCTAGGACAAGCCCTGCCATCTTTACTGCACCCTAAGGAATGGCTGGTCTCAGGTGCTAGCCTGTGAGTTTTCTGTGGAAGGAGTACCTCCTTTGCTCTCGGAATCCACCACAGCAATGAGCCCAGGCCCAGACACTACACCAAGAGGCCTCGATGTGTGGGTCTCAGTCACACCTAGAAAGATGCCAGGACTGCGGGGCAGTGAGAGGCAGAGCAATAGACAGACTTCCCTTTCAGGTTGCTCCCCATCACGACAGCCGGTCTCAACCCAGCACCTGTCTTACTGCACAGCTGGCTGACTGGTGACAGATACAAGGGACAGGGCATGGGAAAAGGGTGCGCTGGCCCTGCCCTGCCCTGGGGGTTGGGAGTGGGGTGGGAGGGACAAGGCAGGGCGCCCACCTCTGTCCTGGGGACCTCGCCGCTGGTGTCCGGCTGGGCGTGGCCAGAGTCGGGGCTGCAGCCTGGCTTGAGGCTGGCCCCCTCATCTTGCTTTCCCTCGCTGGTCCCCTGCTCTGGGCTGTGGCCGCCCGCCCCTCCTCCAGGAGGGGGTTGAGGGGTCTCGTCCTCTACGGCTCCCTCCTCCAGGCCCTCTGTGTCTTGGCTGCTTTGTCCAGGTGCCTCCTCTTCACTGGCCACCCTCTCCTTCACCTCTGCAGGCTCTTCTGTCTGCTCTCCGGCCGGTCTCTCCTCTGCGGGGCCCCCACACCCATCCTCCACCTCTGGGCTGGAGGCTCGGGCTGGGTGCTGGCCAGCCCCCGCCTCGGAGCCGCCCACGATCTTCTCCGGCTCCCGGGCTTCCCCCGCCGCCCTGCTCTCCTCCTCCAGCTTCCCTGTCCTGGGGGACGTCCTCCTCAGAGGAGGGGATCCTGGGGCTTTGCTCTTGGCCGGGAACACTTCGTCCCCATTCTCTTCCTTGGCTCCATTCTCCTGGGAAGGCTCCACGGCCCTGAACTCCCCCACGTCCCCACAGTCTGACTGGGACCTTCGGAATCTCCGGGAAGGAGGGCGCCTTTTTATGGAGCCCCTTGTCCGCACCTGGAAGAAAGTGTTAAGCAATATACATCTGTGAAAAAGGCCAAGGCGAGGACGCATGTTCTTTCAGTGCCAGTTTCACAAGCCCCACCTTAGGATCATTTGATTTTCCATGAGGCTGTAGCACTGTTTGCTATTTATTATAGGTAGAGCCCTATGGATATATGGTATTATATGGTAACCTGCAGAATTTTTTTTGTGTGGGTAAAGATAAAAATGCTTTCTATCCAATAAGAAAAGATAACCTAAGATTTTATTGTTCTGTAAAACATCAATCAGTTTGGTGTCTAACTTAGCAATTTTATTCTCACATTTGCTCCATTTAATTGCCTATAAATAACCAGTTCTTTGAATGAGATTTGCCAACTTATAGATTTCCTCATAAATTAACAAGTTGAACAAAATCTCTATTTCATATTAGAGTCATGTTTTAACATTTTGAGGACGCCGCTTTGACAAAGGTGAGTAGAAAGTGTGTGACACTCAGAACTAGGCCTCACCTTGGCCCACTGGACTTTGTCAGAAGTTCAGTGGGATGCTTGTATATCAGAGGCTCTACTTTATTCACATGATGTGTCCTGTAAACATTAATGTGCAAAGTAGGGACTTCTCTGGTAACCCAGCAGTTAAGAATCCCCCTGCCAATGAGGAGGCACAGGTTTGATCCCTGCCTGGGAAACTAAGATACCACATGCCACGTTACATTTCTGTGTTTGTCAATCCTAGTTTCGTCTCAGTGGTTTAGAGTGAATGCTTGGTTTTAAAAGAGCTTCCCAGAAACTTTGCTGAGCCCACAGTGAGGCTAGCCTGCATACCATCAAGGGCTCAGTCCTCGTGGCCTGCAGGGTTCAGAAATAACCCCAGCTGCTCCCTTACTGCTGTCACAAGACTAAAGTCCCCAGTATTAGGGCGCTCTCCGGGGTTCCTCTCTGCCCCCAGGGCTCTCTCCATTGTTCTGGGCTGAAGGATCCCCATTCTGTCCCCAGCCAGCAGGCTCAAGCCCACCGCATCACCTTTTTGTTTCCTTGGGCTCTACCTGTCTCTGCATATTTGATCTCTTTTTCTTAGATGGATTCTCTGGAAGGGTCCAGAAGATCCTGCTCTCTCCATCCATAATTCTAAAGTCACGTCCATTTATTAATACCATTTCCTGGCATTGGAGCCCTTCAACTCTTAGCCTCTCCCTGGCTCTGGCCAAATTTGTCGGGTGTATTGTTGGAGTGTATTGGATTGTATGCACCTCTGATTCCCTGATTCTTACCTCCTTCCAGTAGGGCAGGGATTTGACGAAATTACACACAAACCACCAGGTAGCATCCACAGAAACAAGCCTTGTTACACATCTTTTTGCAAAGGAAACAGTTTAGATGTTTTTTAACTGGGGTGGGGGTGCAGGCTAAGTTGCTTCAGTCATGTCTGACTCTTGTGACCCTATAGACTGTAGCCCCCCCCCACCCCAGGCTCCTCTGCCTGTGGGTTCTCCAGGTAAGAATACTAGAGTGGTTGCCATGCCCTCTTCCAGGGGATCTTCCTGACCCAGGGATCGATTCTGCATCTCTTACGTCTCCTGCATGGCAGGCAGGTTCTTTACCACCAGCGCCACCTGGGAAGAAGCCCCTTGACCCTAGATGCAAGATGCAACGAACAGGACTTGAGCCTATTCTTGGTCACTCAGGATTGTTTGGAGCAAGTCAGGACAGGACAACCTAGTGACCCTGTCCTCCTTTTTGCCGAGTCACTGCTTTTTACATAAGTCTCAGCTGGGGTCAGCTGTGAATTCCCCCCTCTCTCTCCACAAAGGATGGAGAACTCGCTCCCTCCCCATGCCTGCCTTTCAGGTGAGGGGAGCAAGTTACAGGGAGAGGGGATGAGAGAGACAGGCTCGGTAGAGGGTGAGCTTAGCTCAGGGATCACTTGCCAGAAAGAGGAGACATATCCTTTGTTAAAAAGCAGCTCTGACCACAGCTAAGGTGTGTCCTCCTTCCTTCAGGACAACAACAGGGTAGAGATAATTCAGGATTGCCCAGTGCCCACATGTCCACAGACATTATAAACAAAGACATCACAATACTTAGGACCCAGACATTACCTTATTGTAACAGGGCAGATGACTGCCTTCAGGAGGTTGGTCAAAGCTGACGGGCACCTCCTCTGGTTCGCTGGGCCGAGACCGCACTCCAGGGCTGCTGGGGGTAGAAGGCGGGCTGTGAAATGGTGACACCATGGCCTTGAATCCAGGACTCTTGGGAGAGGCCCCAGGAAGCAGGGCTGCTGGATCAAAGGCTAAATTGGCCTGTTGGGAAAGATGAGCAATTTCAGGTAAGGGAAGAGAGAAGATGAAATTTCCTACTCTAGCATGTTGATTTCCTGGCCTTAGAGCTGATTGAGACTAGGTACCATGAGGCTTTTCTTATTTCCTAGCCAATTATCCATTGTCACAGGACGTCCTGCTCCTGGAAGACCCGCTTACTTTGTCTACCTTCTGCTACCAGGCTTACTCCAGCCTGCATTCCCGAATGCCCAGGAAGTACTGATTTGATCTAACAAAAATGCATTGAGCAGTCCCAATTTATAGACAAAGAGGCCAAAATAGCAACTTCCAGGACTTGCAGGCACCAGGATCTCACACTAAGTCAGCACCTTCACCATCCTTGTCGTCAGAGTCAGTAGCAGTTACCACTTACAGGATGCCTACTCTGTGCTGGGCGTGTGCAGTTTCCCCCTCTACCCTACACATTCAGTTTTGTTCCCAAGGTGCAAATTAGCAAAGTGTTTAAGGAATCTGCCCTGGGATTCAAGCCAGGTCTTTGTCCCTCAGCCTCCGAGTAAGTACAGCATCTTCCTCAGTGAACGGCCAGAATGATGGACAGAGCAGGCCCCAAGCCCCTCCAGGGGGAGCTGGCAGTGCAGATGCACGTGTGTGCCCCAACCTGGGCATCACAGTGCAGTTGAAACCAGACTAAAATGAACCCTGAGGGCAAGCAAAGAGAAGGGGTTACCCAAAGGTAACCAGGGCCTGAGGGAGTCATAAGGTTGGTGGGGGGAGGAGGCAGGTGGTCCTAGAACTATCCGACTGCCTCAGAGAAGGTGCAGGAGGGATTGAATGTGAGTGCCCTGGGTCCCCTAGGACCGTCTAGGGGAACCGGTTCCTCCAGCTCTACCCTCTACATTTCCAAATCATTGCCCAGTTGCATCGGCCAGAGCAGAAAAGCCAGCAGCAAGGTCTGCTGGGAAGGGACCAGGCTTGAGGGGCAGACGATGCTCTCCACACAGACACGTCTGACTCCAGATATCTACTCTTTCACTTGATAGCTGTGTGGCCTACAGGAAGTCCAGTAGCCTTTCAGTATCTTGGATTCTTTATTTGCTCAATCTACTGAGCCTGACCTTCAGAGTCGTTTCTGATCTGGTCCCATTACTCTCTCCTGTCATTATCTGACCCACACCCTCTCCCTCCAGACTTTCCTTGGTGCTACCCTCCCGTCAGTCAAGGCTCTGTCATCCTGAAGAACTCCTACACGGTACTTTAGGACTTGCAAAGTATAGAACATTACACATGTTTAAGATGACATTAGTACTTCTGTTGTGATTTTAAGGAAGAATTTATAATATAGACAAGATTGTGTCATGGTAAAATTAAAAATATAGAAGTTACATAGCAACACTGTGAGCCCATGCCACGTCTAAACGCAGCATATGGCGGGTACCAAGGGACAGGTTTGAACCTCACAGGCTGAGGGAGCTGATGTACTGGGATGGCTCGGAAGGCTTCCTGGCACTGGGGCGGTTAACTGGGCATTAAAAGAGGTCTTCTTCCCCTTTCAGTGTCAAGCTGGGAAATTCTCTCTGTAAGACTGCTCATGGGCTTCCCTGGTAGCTCAGTGGTAAAGAATCTACCTGCCAATGCAGGAGACACAGATACAACCCCTGCTCCAGGAAGATCCCATATACCTGGGGGTTACAAAGTCCGTGCACCACAGCTACTGAGCCTGGGTAGAGCTGGGCAACTGCAATTACTGAGCTCAAGAGCCACAACTACTGAAGCCCTCAAGCCCTAGGGCCTGAGTTCCACAGCAGGAGAAGCCACCTTGAAGACCCAGCACAACCAAAAGTCAATAAATAAAAGTATATATTAGAAAATACTGTTCACAAATAAAGTGGGTCTTCTAGCCAGTGGAAAACTTCTTTTAAAAAATATTTTATTTTTATTTATTTGGTTTCACTGGTTCTGAGTTGCAGCATGCAGAATCTTTAGTTGCAGCTTGCCAGATCCAGTTCTGTGACCAGGGATCCCCTGCATTGGGAGTGCAGACGCTTAGCTACTGGATCACCAGGCAAGTCCCTCGAACTTTGAATTATGAACTTCTTCAATGAAGACCCATCATAATTTCTATCTCTTCTAGTAGAATATTTAGAAGAAAAATTGAGCTGATGATGCATTTCTTAGTTCTTTCCCTACATAGTTCCAACAAAGTAAGGTTCCTAAGGGATATGGTCAAATTATATACTATTACTGACATTCTTCATAAGATTAAACAATTGGAGATCAAAACCTCATTCTCAGGTTTCCATGTTTCCCTAAGACACTTGTCAATGACTGGAAAAGGGGAATAAGACCAAAATTTCAAGGTACATGGTCTTCGTGATCATCTCCAGCACTTGACTGAGGGCTGTGGTGGGCTGCAGGGAGGTGGAAGTAGGTGCCCTGCATTATACCCCTGACATCAAGGAGGGGTGTCTGAGTTTAGGGGTCCCTTGTGAGAGATCCCTTTGAGGTACATGGGAGTCCTGCAGTCTTCTACAGTGACGGACAGTCCACCCCTTCCCTGCAACTGAGATGGAATCAGGGCTTTTCATGATGAGTTAAACTTCAGAAAGACTCCTTCTGACCCTTCACCAGGTAGGTTCATGACCCCAAACCAGAGGTGCTTTCCTTAACCCCAAATCGGGCTGGGGGTGAAATGTCTGGGCTCTCCTCTGTAGCTGAGAACCACAGAGGCTGTGACCACTTGTCCTGACACATCCCTAAGAATGACTCCACAACAAGGTTGATGAATCAGTTTCATTAGTTGGACCCAGACAGGAGAATCCAGTGCAGGAGAGCCTTGCTGAGACTGCAGTGAAAGCTTGAGCATCTTCTCTGGGCCTGACCCAGGCATATCACACTTGTTCCTCCTCTGCATTTCAGTTCACACTTTCCCACACCAGGAGAATCTCCTTCCCTCCTTTCCAGCCACCCTTGGGGACCAACTCAGGGAACAGGTGTTTCATAAAGCATTTGTCATCTACTCTTGACCACTTGACTTTCTTTTTGCTCTATAATTCTAGAGCAGTGGATCTCACCTAAGGTAGGGGGCAGGGGGATGATTTTGTTCCCATGAGACATTTGGCAATACCTAGGGACACTTTTTCTTTGTCAGTTTATTGAGTGTTGCTGGCATCTACTGAATAAGGACTGCTGCTAAACATCTTGCAGTGTACAAGGCAGCCCCCTGAAACAAAATTATCCAGCCCAAATCATGCTGAGGTTAAAAAGTCCTGGTCTAGGGACTTCTTTGGTTGTCTGCCTTCCAAAGCAGGGAACGTGGGTTTGATCCCTCATCAGGGATCTAAGATCCCACATGCCTCAGGGCAATTATGTCTATGAGCTGCAACTAGAGCAAGCCCATACTGCAACAAAGACCCAGTGCAGCCAAATAATAAAAATAATAAATTTAAAAAAGAAAAACCATACCAACTGTAAAAAAAAAAAAAAAAAGTCCTGGTCTAAAGCAGTAGGAGTTGGGTCAGTCAGTCAGTCAGTTCAGTCACTCAGTCGTGTCTGACTCTTTGAGACCCCATGAATTGCAGCACTCCAGGCCTCCGTGTCCATCACCATCTCCTGGAGTTTACTCAAACCCATGCCCATTGAGTCAGTGATGCCATCCAGCCATCTCATCCTCTGTTGTCCCCTTCTCCTCCTGCCCCCAGTCCCTCCCAGCATCAGGGTCTTTTCCAGTGAGTCAACTCTTCGCATGAGGTGGCCAAAGTATTAGAGTTTCAGCTTCAGCATCAGTCCTTCCAATGAACACCCAGGACTGATCTTTAGGATGGACAGGTTGGATCTCCTTGCAGTCCAAGGGACTCTCAAGAGTCTTCTCCAACACCACAGTTCAAAAGCATCAGTTCTTCAGCCCTCAACTTTCTTTATAGTCCAACTCTCACATCCATACATGACCACTGGAAAAACCATAGCCTTGACTAGACGGACCTTTGTTGGCCACAGATTAGATCTCTGGTATTTACTCTCCCATATGTCTTTTATTGTATCATGTGTGAAAATTCTGGGCTTCCCTGTTGGCTCAGATGGTAAAGAATCTGCCCGCAATGCAGGAGACCCAGGTTTGATCCTTGGGTGGGAAAGATTCCCTGTAGAAGGAAATAGCAAGCCACTTCAGTATTCGTGCTTGGGAAATCCCATGGACAGAGGAGCCTGGTGGGCTAAAGTCCATGCGGTTGTAAAGGATCAGACACGACTGAGTGACCAACACTAACCTGTGAAAATCTCGTCTCCACAACAAGATTGTGAGATCAAGTGCAGCTGTATGCTTCATTTACACCCCTAGGAAAGCCAGTGGGCACAGTGGTGAGGGCATACAAGGTAACTGGTGATGAGGAAGGACAGAATGCTTTCCAAACAACGAACTTGGCCATAGTGGTGTAATGTCTAGCAACTGAATTTCAGTCCTGTATAAGGTTGAAGTGGTTTGTGACTGCATTCATGCCTTAGAAAGGACTTGACTATTCCTGGAGTGTTTCTTGCACTATAATGTCCCTTCCTCATAAGATATCCCATTCTCTTCAACCTCTGCTAGGTGTTAACGACATGAGTTCACATTTCATAGGGTCCTTATTTTAGTGTTTTGCCTTTAAGTAGAGCTTCCCATCCTTCAGGGCACTTTATTTTATTTTTTTTGATTTAATAAAGTTTTATTTTTCAAAGTGTACAGCTGGTGGGACCTGTTCATGCGTCTTCACCAGCAGCTGGGGCATCTCCACCCTTGGTATTTCTGGTGTAAATCACTTGAGCTCTGAGCTTTGAAACCAGTTTAGTAAGTCCTTTACTGAGGAATTCCTGAAGAGCTGCTCTGGCCAGGGAACCACGAATCTTCAGTCTCTCAGAGACGACAGCTGGGGTTATGCGCTTATAGTTGGGAACTTCTTTACAGGGTTTGTCATATGTTGCTTTGTCAAACAAGACTAGGTTATTGAGCTTGTCCCGAACTTTGCCTTTGGACCACTTCTTTTTGGCCTTGCCCCCAGATTTGTTCACTGGATCTTTGTCTTTCTTGGCCGACTTTCCGGCATCTTTCTTCTTCTTGTCGTCCTCGGGCGGCATAGCGAAGGCCGGAGAGCAACTGCAACCACTGCCGCCTTGCTAAGATGTCGGGCAAAAAGGCTTCGGGGCACTTTAATCTCTAGTTGGTTATCAAAGGTCAACTATCCAGGTGACAGATGGAACTACCCCTAGGAATCCCAAAGACATGCAAATACTGGACAAGAGGTAGTGACATTCTGAACTTCTGAACCATTCTGAACTTACCTGAAGTTTCTCAATCAGAGGTGAGCTCTTCACTTTGACTTTAGGAGGGTGGTTTGCACTGGGCAGTGACTTCTATAAAAGCAAATGGACCAAAACAACCAAATGAGTAAGGTGAAGGGAAGTGGGGTCCTGGTCAGACCCCAGAAGCCACAACTGGGATGAGAACAAAACGTTGGTTTCATCACTTCCCCACTGAGCTGCAGGGACTCACTCACCTGCTCAGGTACTAGGCACAGCAGGCTGCCCCTCCCCTCTTCCTCTTCCTGCCTGAACAAGACCACCTGAACCTATGCCTTGGAGCAAGCAGAACACCCAAACCACCGGAGGCCTCCTGTCCAGGAAGGCTGCCTTCATGGCCATCATGAGGGAACAGACTATGTCTGAGGGGGATAAGATCTTCAGCCCATGACCTTAGCAATGTGGGAAAACAATTGGAGGGGATTTCAAACAGAAAGGGCAAGTGACCATCCATTCTGTTTGTCACAAATATAACAAGAAACCATAGAGTTGGGGTGAAACCTGACAGAGATATTATTGAAATTCTTTCCTTGAACTAATAATATTTTGGGGAACCTCTTCAATAGTGTTGTTTATAAACTATCATTTTCCAAAGCATTGAATTTTCATTTTGATTAAGCAGACATTTATTGAGTACGCCCTACATTCCAGACATTGTGTTGGTTATATTAAAAAAATGAACATGATTTTGTGAAAGTGTTAGTTGCTCAGTCATGTCCAACTCTTTGTGACCCTATGTACTGTATGTAGCCCACCAGGCCTCTCTGTCCAAGGGATTCTCCAGGCAAGAATACTGGAGTGGGTTGCCATTCCCTTCTCCAGGGGGTCTTCCCATTCCATGGATTGAACCTGGGTCTCTTGCACTGCAGGAAGATTCTTTACTGTTGGAGTGTGCCTGCCTTCTAAAAGTGGATGATGTCTGAGATATACATATACATACATACATATATATATATGAATATATGTACATATATATGCCATTAGTTAGAGATATTTTTGTGATGAATATATGTCAGGAATCTTGTCAGTTTTTGGATTTTACATTATCTAAAAAGATTGACTCCTTGTTTTGTGTAAAATCCTTACAGCTGATTCTAGCTCCATAGGTATATTGATCTTCAACGTGTAGGAATGATGACAGTGATGATGATGATGGTGGTGATGAATAAAAAGAAATTGACGACTTCCATGTTGTTGGACAGAGACCAGAGCAGGAAAAAAACCTACATTTGGGGACACTGCCTCTTGCGCCCATATTCTAAACTACTTGAATTATAAGAGGAATAATACCAATTTCTTATAAACCTGAGATATTTATTGAGGGAGATGAGTTTAGTGATGGAAAGAGAGAAACTCACTCAACAGAACTCTCTGTGACCTTTTTAAGGCCCAGAAATGGGGGGATGGTGCTGGAGTGGATCAGTCACTTGCTAGGACTCAGGAGGCCCCCTCCCAGCCCTTTCTGATGCTGGCCTTTTTCTGGGAGGGGAGTTGCACTGCATGCAGGACCTTAGTTCCCTATCCAGGGATTGAACCCATGACCCCTGCACTGGGAGCTTGGAGTCTTAACCACTGGACCGCCCAGAAAGTCCCCAGCTGGCTGTGACAGGAGCTAGATGGATGCCCTGGCCTCGGCCTTCCCAACCAAGACCCAAGCAGGCAAGTGGTTTGGAAGAAGCGATTCTAAGGCCTCCTCCAGCTTTCAGGTGCCGCTGGCCCCATGAGTTTGCATCATCAGACATATTTCCAGAGTGGTCAGTCTTTCAAGGAGCCTTGTGGCCACTGTGAGAACGGATTTGGTCGTCCTTAATTTCTGGGCTTGCAAGTGAAAATTCACATGAGCCAGTGTTTTTGAAGATGCCGTTCTAGAAACTGCAACAATTGTGCTGACCAAACTCACTTTATGTAATAATTTTAAACTCCTCTCTTCCATAACTGATCACTATCTTCTGAAGAGAGTGCAAATTCAATAAACACAGTCCCTTCCTCGCAGGACAGTGCTGGGAACCCAGCTCATGACCTACAAAACCCTTACTGATTTGAACTGACCTACTAAACAGGAAGAATCCCGAGGAGCCGCCAGTGCAGTTCCTAGGAATGGCAGCAGGGGGCAGCATCTCCTTTACTGTGCACCTAGCAGCTCCAGACAGGCAGCGGCCTCTCACACGGCTGGAGGGATCAAGTCAACCTGACATCTCTCTGTGTGTATGCATGCCATATATGACATTCTAATAATGACTAGAATAATGACCAGGTTTTTCAGTCCTTCTCTGGGCAGGTGAGGCAGGGGCTACATTAAAACACAGTACTGGGTGTGTCCTTCATAGAGGGGTAACTCCAATACACTCTCGGGGCAGGGGTTGGCCTCTCCATCTCAGGCTCATGTAGGCATAGGGAGGGGGCAGGAATGAAGAAGAGACAGTAAGACCCCTTCAGCACTGTGCACTGGAAACTGGGACGTGACCTGACTGGGGCCTTCCCTGCAGGCGCCCAAGGCTCCCAGCATTAGGGCTTCTGCAGGCTGTACCATGGGAGTATGGAAGGATTGTGGACAACAGCCTCCATCTAATCCAGCCAGACAAAGCTGGCTGCTTGTTTTATTTCTGTGTGAATTTCAAGGTGACAAAGAATCTTTGATATCTGGAAGCAATGTCCTATGCATATGCAAGCAGCCTGTGACCCCAGGACTTTCCTTCTAAGATCCAACCTCCCATTCATTCAGCCCTTGGCTGTCACAGACCATTTAACTCTGGTGGTGCCCCATGGAATGAAACATGCAAACTTATTTCTCCCAGAGCCACTGAACTAACCTGGCTCACTCCACTTTTATCCAGGGAATAAACATCCCCATGCAGCCCCCATGACTGGTTAGTGCTCTTGTCCCATTTTACAAAATAGGAAGCAGGCTCGGTGCAGTGCCGGGACTTCTCCAAGGCCAAGTCCAGTCAGGGGCAGCCCCACAGGGGGCTCCCAGTGGTCACAGCCTTAGCGTGCTGCCCAACACGGGTTCCAAGCCCAGAGGGCGGGCACACGGGAAGCTGACCCTCAGCAAAGAGAAGCTGTTGATGTGTATTTGGTCAGAACGTTGGCTGATGAACCCACAAAGTCACAGAATCATAACGTGAGCACGTGAGGAGACCCCCCAAAAAACTTAGTGTTTTTCAACTGTGTTTCTTGGGGATTTTCATCCCAGAAGATCTCTGTTCATTGTGTGTGTGGGGGGAGGTAGTATTCCCAGACCACATGGGGCTCTAGACACCCCCTTCTCCATTCCACTTGACAGGGAGCAGCTCTTTCTGATTTATCTGAGGGGCTTCTGCTTATATGCCTTGGGTTGACAAAAAAGTTTGAACATCATTGATATACTCCAGATGTTTCACTTTATAGGCAGACAAGGAGAGGCTCGCCAAAGTCCATGTGGCTACCGTGTCCGCCTGTCATCAAGATGCTGGCCCCCAAAAAAGACAGTGGGGAAAGAGGTGTCACAGTGGATACGGGGACTGGACTATCTTTGGCTGGCTTGCTCTATTTGGGGATTGGCCTCCCAGGCTGAAGGATAGAACATGCAAATCTGTTTCTGGTGGGGACCGCAACCACAGTGAAGGTTCATGGGCTCCTGGGAGGGTGTGGACAAGTTCCTCTTACAGCTACAATTAGATGAAGAAGGGTAGGTGAGCATGCAGGCTGGGAATCCATTGCTGGCCATGATCTATGATACCAGAGCCTGTATTATGTCGGTAACATTGGCTATTTATAGCTGAGGGCAATGAGGCCTCCTGAGGGCTCTGGTTTCCTTCCAGTGATCCAGAATAATAGCCATCCTGTACAAGATACCACAGAAACACTCAATTATCTCATTGCAGTTCCACCTCATGTGAGTGCAGACCCTCTTTCCAGATGCCTTGGGCACATGGAAGATCATATAAGTCAGACCTGGGAATCAAACATGACTTTCATGAGTCCTAAATCTGATGTGATGTGGTAGTACTCGATGGCCCATTCTCTTGGCTGAAATGCTCAGGCTTGAAAAATAGTGCTACTGTCCTCGAAAAATTGTAAAGGAGGCTCAATAAGAGGGAATAGGAAGGGGCTTCATTCTCACAGTAAATGAACAGGAAACATCAAGAAAAGAAGGTTCATTCCTGAATCTGAAAAGGAGAAATTCCCTGCACAGCCTTTAAAGTCTAAAAATGTGAACTGAGTGTTTCTTCCCATAAGAAGGAGAAAGCAAATCCATAACCAGCATCTCTGGAGCCCCGGAGGCAGCAGCACTTACCTCCTCACCATTCTGGCCCAGCTCTACCTTGGGGGGGAACAGAGAGAGGGAGCAGGGCGGTTTCCTTCTGGTTGGTTTACTGGCTGGTGTCTAGAGGGAAGGGCGACAGACAGACACACAGAAAAAGAGAGAGAGCTAATCAGGCAACAGGGAGGAAGAGGAAGGAATGGAAACTGGCTTTAGGAATGTTTAGGAATGTCTGGTGGAGAAGAGAATGGAGTGAGGTTGCCTGTCTGCCAGTTAACTATAAAGTCACTCCAGTGTACTGTCTACCCATTCTGACTTTTAGCTTCTCCCAGTGATCTCCTGCTGGCATCCTCTTTTACTTGAGTTCATCAGACGGAAGCAACATTTCAAAATAATATCCAGCTAATAATATCCAGCTATGGATAACACTCATATCCAGCATCTGAGCACTGCCAGAGCCTTAGATCAGTACTCTCTCCTTCACCCTTTATAACATGCCTACTGTGTCTAGAAATTATGGACGGGTTTTTCAGATGGAAAAATAAAACCGCAAAACAACGCATCTAAAAAAGCATTCTCGTTTTCCCCAAGGGGCCATGATAAACCTCCCCCGACACTGGGGTGCCCTTCCCACATTCCACTTCTAAGGAGCTTCTCAGACTGTAGGACTAGAGAAAATCTGGCCCAGATTTCTCCAACACTACAAAGCCCCCTTTGCCACTGTCCTCTCCACCAGGATTCTAGAATCCACTGCTAACCAGATCCCTTCCCTTTCTGATCCCTGCTTCCTATCTGAATGCACTTCCCTGTCAGTTCTTGCTTCCCAGTTCTCTGCTGGAATTTACCCGTGCTCTGAATTCCTAGGCTCAGGGGAGGAGCCTGGTGTGGGGACTTCTTTATTCTGTGCCAGCCCAGGCCTGGCACAGCTGTGCAAGTTCTAAATCTCCATCAGTGGAGGATGGAGGTGGACCAGGCTTCCAGAGCCCCATCTCGGAGAGCAGGCCTTTCAGCGCTCAGCCCCACGTCTGCTCCCTCCTGGCCGAAGTATAAGCCTCACTCTGGTGAGGAAAGACCCTGCCCAGGCCCAGAGGCATGGCGACATTCCTCACATTCAGAGAGACCCCTCTCTGATTTCGCTTCCTAATTTGGTAATCACTAAACCTCCTCCCTCCCTCTGCTCTGGGCCTGACCCAGACTTCCCCTTCCTCCAGTCCCCTCTCAGGAGAGGGGCTCTGATGCCGCCTGACTCACCTCCTTTGCAGCGGCTGCCTGCTCCCTGAACCGCCCAGCCAACTGGGCCACCGAGGGGGGCGCAGAGTCGTCCACAATGGCGTTGGTCTGTGCCGGCCGTTCCTGGCAAGCCAAGGGGAGGCCGAAGTTAAGCAGCAAATATACACCTGGCACTGCTGAGCATCAGCACACGGGGCCACGCGAGGTGCCTGCAATGTGACAGTGAGGTCTTTCCCCAGCATTTTGTAATTGGCTTCTGCATCAGCTATTTTAAAAACTCAGTTCATCAACTGCATCTCGTACGAATATTTACAATGTCCTTGGCCCAGGGTGCGGCTCTGTTGATCTGGAAAGGAATTAAAGTTGCCCTGGGGGGTGGGCCGTGGAGGGCCCAGGGACCTGGGAGGCAGGATGAGGCTGGGCTCCTCATTCTACGAAGACCTGACCTGCAGAGAACTCTGTCAGAGACAGTCTCCCTTAGTCAGAGGGAGCTTTGAAAACGGGGCTGGCAAAACGCACTGGAGAGAGTCCAGTGCCTGACTGTATCTAGTGGGGTGAGCAAATGCCCTGGATTGAACTTAAAAAAATTTTTTTTTTATTTGTGGCTGTGGGGGGTCTTGGAGAAGGCAATGGCACCCCACTGCAGTACTCTTGCCTGGAAAATCCCATGGACGGAGGAGCCTGGTGGGCTGCAGTCCATGAGGTCACTAAGAGTCGGACACGACTGAGCGACTTCACTTTCACTTTCCACTTTCATGCACTGGAGAAGGAAATGGCAACCCAGTCCAGTGTTCTTGCCTGGAGAATCCCAGGGATGGGGGAGCCTGGTGGGCTGCTGTCTGTGGGGTCGCACAGAGTCGGACACGACTGAAGTGACTTAGCAGCAGCAGCAGAGGGGGGTCTTTGTTGCTCCATGCGGATTTCTCTAGTTGCAGAGAGTGGAGGCTACTCTTAATTGTGGAGAGCAGGGGCTCCTCATTGTGGTGGCTTCTCTTGTTGTGAAGCATGGGCTCTAGGCTGTGCAGACTCAGTAGTTGTGGTACAAGGGCTCAGTTGCCCCGAGGCTTGTGGGATCTTCCTGTACCAGGGACCAAACCCATGTTCCCTGCATCGGCAGGCGGATTCTTAACCAATATGCCACCAGGGAAGTCCTGGATTGAACTTTTGACAAGTATTTTTGTATCTTATTTCTCCTACTTGATTGAGTGCTTTGGTCATAGAAATGCTCAGAAAATATTTGTTGAACTAATAAACAACATGAAAGTCAAGTAGCATGGCAGATGAGAACCTGACTATCTGGATTTGACCACTGAGCTGCTCCATCTCCTTAGCTCAGTGACCTTGGGCAAATGCCTTCCTCCTTCTGTACCTCAGTAGGGGTAACAGTAGCAGTTGCTCACTTGGTGGTTCTGCAGATCAAATGATTTACTATGTATCTAAAGTGTGGGGACAAGGCCTAGGCCATAAGAGCTTTAGAAGCATTGTTACTACTACTTCTAAGAACCCCTGTGATAACCTCAGTGAACAAGGTCACTGTTCACTCTCATGTGCCTTTTGTCACCAAGACTCATTTGATGAGTCAGCAAGCCCTGGAAACAGACACTTCGCTTCTGCCTTATTACACACGGCCTACAAAATCGCCTGACGTTCACAATGTTTTTAAACGTCCAGTCTTAGAGACATTCAGATTCGAGTTTTGACCATGATGATGGCATTTTGCACCCAGGCTGCAAACCTCTCCACTCTACCTGCTCATGTCTAGCTTGAAACCGAGAGAAGCTGGGTAGCAGTTGCCCGACAAAGTACATCTCTGTCTTTCCATTGAGCTCATGGCCTACAAAGATCAGGCATGCTCCAGCTGCAAACTTGCATCCCTGTACACGCCCCTCCACACATACATCCACATGCATGTGCACACACACATACTCTCACATACATGTCCTGCACCCTCCTTTTTGTGCTGAAAGTGTCTCTGAGCTTTCTTATTTGAGTGCTCCCTCTGAAGGAAACATCACTGGTCAGACCATGATGTTGTCCCATTGGAGCAGGAAGGGCAACCACCTGCCCCACACTGACCTCAGATGAAGCTGAGCAAGTGTGGGCAAAACTTTGAGAAGAGGGCTTTGCATAGAGATAGGAAAGAACTGATGGGACACGGATCTTCTGATCTGTGAACGGGCTGTTCTAGAGGAAAAGGCAGGTCCCTGCTATAAGTCAAGTTTATCCCCATTTCAGCCTAAATATCAAATACTGATTTCAAAAAAAGATGTTAAAGGATTCACCTCTCTTCAAGATGCCAGAATTCCTCCACAGCGCTGGAGAAGGGGGTGGGGAGCCTCGGTGCCCGCCCTGACGTGTGCCCCACACTGGCCATTCCAGGCCTGGTCAGAGGTGAACATCATGTCCTCCCGGAACAATGGAGCGGCTCCAGGGACAGAACAATTTATTAATTGAGCTGCTCTTGGCAAAAATGCTGGGCCCATCCGTCTGTCTCAGTCGCTCTGTCTGTTGCTATTTACTGCTCGCCTCCTGCTGACAGTGCACTTTACCTCAGCCCTGAAGGCGCCAATCACAGGCGGTGCAGGAAGAAACATTCCAGATAAAAATAGAGCTGAGCAGGAATCAGAAACTCCTCCCAACTTCCCTGTCTTGAAACCGGGCTTGGCAAGGGGTGAGAGAACTACAAGCCTTCTGGAAGGACTTAGGACTTAAAAGCCAGGTTGAAGGAAAGATTATGACACGTCTGAATTTGCTGTCCTGGAGCCCAGTGAATGGGTTTTCTTTAGAATGTCGATGGACTCCAGAGCTTGTTGAAGCCTGGCAAATCCACTCACCACCAGCACCTCTCCAGATGCTGCTTCTCATTCTGTGTTGTGGAAGAGTGATTGATTGTTGCCTTCTCTCAGTTGGGCAGAAGGCCAGAGAGGGCCAGTAACTTAGCCAGAGTCACACAGGAGATGCCAGACGGAATAATCTGAGAAACACTTGACTCCAATGCCTAATAATCCAACAACGCACGTCAGTTAAATAGCCTAATTTGTGAAGGTGCTTTGAAAACTGTAAAGTGATATGTAAATGGCAAATCTATTAGAAGCCTCTGGGTTACACGGGTACAAGGGGACAGCATGGCTTTGGGGATGGTCAGGCACTGTGGTTCAGCCTGTTTGAGGCTTTGCCTGGATTTCTGCCTTGTACTTTTGGCAGGTGCCACTACCGACCTCTTCCAGTGGTTCAACATCACACCACCTTGGCCCCAGGCAGGTGAGTGACATTTTCTTCCCTCCTCTTCTCCTCTCTCTCAGCCCTGAGGCTGGTTTGGGAAGGTGCCTGCCTTGATTGTTCTTAGATCTGAGCATGACTTTAGTGTCCCTGCCTAGTCCCCAACTTTCCTGGGAGGCCCCCACCGCTGAAGCAGCCTTCTTTCTCCTTCCAAAGTTATCCGTTAAGCACTGAACAGAGGCAGGCACATAGAAAGTCGTCCTCCAAGGGCGCCTTCCTCCCACCTCCCATCCAAGCCAGCTTGTGGTGTCCGGGTCTGGGCCCCTGCTCCCAGAGTCGCTGACACCCTCAACTCCACCTGCACCCACCTCCAGGTCTTGGTCACGTTTTGACCTCTGTGGACCCTTTCTTCTTGGGACCAATCTCCATGTCTTAAATTTATTTTCTGAACCCACTCCCACATGCGACCTGCTTTAGTTGACACTCATGCTTACAGATTGCAGCCCCCAGCCCACCCTCCTGGGCTCAGGGCCTGCTGACCAAGCCCTTACTGCCACTGTTCCAGCCTGGCTCTGCCAGCAAGTTTGGAAACCGCTCCTGTGGTTCCCTCAACTTTGCTGAGGCCAGAAGAAAATCACCTCTGGAGTTTACTTTCTGTTTCTATGGGACTTTCTTCAGAGAACTGAGGAGCCCGTGTGTCTGGACAGCATGGAACGTCCCCCTCACTGTTGCCGTGATGAATAAATACAGTCTGGATGCTGCTGACCGTTCACACAGTGGAAGCTCTGTGTACAGGCCCAAATCAGACTCTGCCCTGGCTGTGCCCGTTTCCCACCCTCCTCTCGGCCCAGGTGTACGTTTCTACCAGTCTGTGGTCCACGGTTTAGGGTCACAAGGCACCAGGGGAGGCCTCGTCTATAGCTCGGGGGAGAATCAGTGAGGGGGTCTGCCTGGGGCTTGAGGAACACCTGCTGTTAGCTAAAAGGAAGGTTGTCTTGCTCACCAGAAACAGGATAAATGAGCCAGAGCCTCAAAACATAAGGTATGCTCGCTTCTTTGCTCTTTTAGAACTGCAGTGGATCTTAAGGGCACTCAACCCCTTCCAACTGAAACCTTCATTTTAAAAGGATCAACAGACAGTCCCTCTGGGAATGCCGCAGTGATTCCTTTGTTTTTCTTATGCTTACCTTACCCTGAACTCTTCAGTTCACCAGTGTTTAACCATTGCCATTTGGGAATGATGGAAAGGACAGTGGACTAGGAACCAAGTTAGCCAGTTTGATGTACCTGCCTTACTTAGAGCAGCTGCTATGTGGGAGGCAGCGTTCTTATAGCACTTGATCTATTTTTCCATCATTCTCACAACACCTCTTCTAGAACAGAAAATGGCCCAGAGTTGCTAACTCATTCTTCAAGTTAGTAAGTGCTGCATCATCTGGATTCCAAAGATCTCTCTCCACACAGACATGCTCTGTTAACTCTAGACCTTCTCTTCCAGAGTTGTCTTACTGAGTGTCTCATCAGCAAACACCACCGTCCTGAGACCTGCGCTGAAGCAGCGAACAAGACAGCGTTCTTCCCTTAAGGAGTGGCTACTCCAGTAAGGGGGGCAAAGAATAAACACAGAGTACATAAACAAGTAAGAGAAACTAAGTGCATGGAAAAGAGAAAATAGGAGGCTTTGCCTATGGGGCTGTGAGCAGACATCTCTGAGGAGGAGCCATCTGAATTTCCAGGTGGGAAAAAGGTGGAAAGAAAACTGTTCTGAGCAGAAAGAACAGAGAGGAACAAAGGGTGAGGGACAGAGAAGAGAAGAGTGGCAGGGACCTATCGCATCCAAAATACTTAAGGGGACATAAAGGATGAGAGGCAGTCTGGGGCCCACTGCATGAGGCCTTGAGGGT